TTTGTTTAGAAATGTTCGATCGCTTTTACATCTCCGTTAGTTATGAACTGAATTGCATGAAATTCAATATGGGCATAGCTTTAGCCATATAATACGCAATGCCAAAAGTTGAATCGAATCGATTCAAAATTCACAGTGCCCTTTTCGCATCTCGACCATTTATAAACCGAATTGCAAACTTTTTTACTTATAAAAGTATTTGAATGAAATTTGATACATAGGCACTTGGAATAAAGGAAAATCAAACGCCAATTTCAAAATTTGGTTTTGCGCATGCGCAGTGCCAACTTTTTTATTTATGGAAGAATTTAAACGAAATTTGATACATAGGCACTTGTAATAAAAGAAAATCAAACGCAAATTTCAAAATTTGGTTTTGCGCATGCGCAGTGCCAACTTTTTTATTTATGGAAGAATTTAAACGAAATTTGATACAGAAGCACTTGGAATAAAGAAAAATCAAACGCCAATTTCAAAATTTGGTTTTGCGCATGCGCAGTGCCAACTTTTTTATTTATGGAAGAATTTAAACGAAATTTGATACATAGGCACTTGGAATAAAGGAAAATCAAACGCCAATTTCAAAATTTGGTTTTGCGCATGCGCAGTGCCAACTTTTTTATTTATGGAAGAATTTAAATGAAATGTGATACATAGGCACTTGGAATAAAGGAAAATCTAGCGCCAGTTTCAAAATTTTATTTTGCGCATGCGCCGTGCCAACTTTTTTATCTATGGAACTATTTAAGTGAAATTTGATACTTAGGCGCTTGGAACAAAGGAAAATCTAACATTAGTTTTAAAATTGAGGTTTGCGCATGCGCAGTTCCAACTTTCTTATTTAGAAAAGCATTGAAATGAAATTCTTCTCATAAACTGAAATTGAAGTAGCACGTCAACAATGGATTGCCCATGTGCAATGCTATCTTTCATATTTGTGGCCGGATTTCTACGATTTTAACAGAAGTTGCATCTTACAAATGGGAAATGAATGCAAGTGGAAATGCGCTTTATGTAAATCGTTTACGATTACTTTTTAACTTGTTAAGCATATTTTGCATTTATACCAAAACACACGACGTTCACACTCAAGTCCGTTTGCCCGCTAGAGAACGTCTCTAGAATTAAGTCGATTTCTTTGATGATCCGAGTTTTTGCCACTAAACATTGAAATAAGTTTCTCGAAGAAGAAGTGAGGAAACATGAGATTTGATGTAATATAAGATGATTCGTAAATTTTTTAGAAACAAATGACCGGTCGTTAATATTATAATGCACCATTGGACACAAAAAATCGAAATTATCTCTCAAATTTTGAAAGTAGCAAGGTCCACGCTGAAAATTCGCATACCTACCATCGGAACAGAACTGGACCATCGAAGTCTCATGAAACTTAAAATTTCGAAGGATTTAATAAAGATTTTAATTTTATCGAAAACTTCGAGCATTTAAGAATTTAAGATTACGAATTTGCAAATGATCTACACAATCTTTCGGATACTTGGACAACCCGTAAAAAAGGACTTATCAGTAACAAATAAGTTTCTTTAGTCAAATCATTTCCCATATACCTATTTGCAAAGCTTTACACGCGTTTTAAAAACATGGAGGGTAAATTTTGGATTTATAATTTTGTTTATCTCTCCCAAGTTAAAACTAGCGACAGTTGTGCCGGTCGGAAGCAAACATGACTTAAATAACTCGAGAGATAATTTCTGATCTTCATAAAGGCGCGAGATAAAAACTTAACCAACAGTAATTAATTGGTAAATAAGTTATGATTATTGTGGGCAATAATCTAAATTGCTGTAAATATAAAAATTAACCGTAAAGACGCCGTGAAAAGCAGAAATCTTAGTATAATTATTTACTTTATAACTGTTTCTGTATAAAGCTTTAATAGATGTTAGAAAATTGCGGTTATATTATTAACGATAGAATAGTTAAATAATCTATTTTTAAATATGGTTGTCTTCGATTACTTTACGTCAATAGAAATAGTATAACACGATTTACAATAAATACGTCGTGACCGATTTTTAGCTTGGATCCTTTCAAGATGCGGTCAATAATTTGCGTTGAAAGGTAACTTTTAATGAGATTTTAGCAATTTGAAGATTGTGGGATGGGGTAATCTTCTGTCCGACTGAAGCTGGATAGGTATTTACTCTCAGTTTAATATCAGCGTTTCTGATACTGTATTTTCGCTTCATTACCACCGCAGAAAAACTAAAATAGATTAGGTCCAATAATGTATAATTTTCAATCAGAATTGTCTATAAAAGACCTAGTTCTTGACAGCCCCTCCAATCTTGGTGTAAAACTTTTGTTTATACTAATGGGAATTGAAACAAATACTTTGAAAGAGCTATGAAAAATAATACCCGAGTGTAGAACTTTGTATTTCTGAGTTTTAAAAGTAAAAATCCTTTATTGCTTTCGTATTGTAAGTCGCTAGCAAAAACTTCATTAGAAAAACAATTAGAATTAATGAAGGGCTGTCCGGAATTCTAGTGAGAACTAAAAATTTGTACAAAACTAGTATCTGTAATCCAAGTAAGATAAAGATTTTCGCTAGTTTATAAAATAACAACATTTAATTTCAGTCAAAAGTAAGCTATAAAAATGAACAGATGGGAGGAACAATATTGCTCTTCTATATTTTCGAAAATGCACTAAAGGGCTTTTCAAGGGTTTGAATGCCAAGTTTCAGTTCGAGAGTGTGGTAAAATTTTGTAAAACGACCTGTAAATCTGATAATAAAAACTTGTGAGGTTTTTCGTATTTTAAGTGCCAAAGGAATACTTGGGTCCATTTTCTGATTATAGTTAGGGAATAAGGTTTTGACTGACGCCATAATTAAAAAATGAAAAAAGGTTTTCGCCTTAAGGCGACTAACTTTAGCGCATTTTCCATGCACAGATCAGTATTTCCCGAAAGGTCATATAACGGTCTATTTGGCCTGCTCGTTCCCCGGACCCTTCCCCATTATATTTCTTTTTGTGGGGATATGTAAAAGACACAGAGAAGAGAAGGCACGATCTTGAGAATAAGAATTGCACTACGAGCCAATGAACCACAAATAATACAGAACTCTACAAGAGAACATTTAAGTAAAGGAATTGAATTATGTTTGAAACACGAAGGCGCTCATTTTAAGCATGTGTTGAAGAAGGGAAGGTTTTAAAATAATTTGATCTTATTTGCATATAAAATTGTGTTAGTCGTTGAAATTTCTTAAATTTGGATCTCCATAGTGCGGTCATACACTAAAAGAAAGCCCTATTCTTTCTCTATGCACTTGTAAAATAGATTGCCATAACTACAACCGATTTCAAATAATCAATTTTCAAGGTACCGTCTGAATCCGCCATTTTTTATAAAGTCAAAATAACTTAAAAACCTTGTGGATATCAGAAGACCATAAATTTCACGTAGTATCCAAAAATGCATTAAAAAAATAGGGGTTGCCATTTAAAATAATCAAGTTACTAGCTCCTTCCGGTATTTCGGGAAGTGTCGCCATTTTGAAAATATTTTACATCAATTCGGCCTTCAGAGTAACTTCTAAGTACACATTTTCAAAAACCTACTTACTTCACTTTCCCAGCAACGTTAAAGCTCTGTATTTAGTAAACTTATTCAATATTTGCATTGATTTTTGCATTAATCGCTGATCACAAAACGAGCTTGAAATGACCCGTATCATATCTTTGGGTGGTTTTCTAATAAAATCGTAACAAACCGACATGATGAAAAAAACATTTTAGCCGAAGATTTTGCAAGAAAAAAAAAAGAGGAGAACAATTTCCATCATTCAAGAAGATCCAAGCATTTTTCTCAAACAGTCCTAGTGGAATGGGTCGTGTATACCAATCGATTAATTTGAAATCAATTACAGTTGGATTGTTGTTGTTAGTTTTCAAAAACCTATCGTTGGTTTCATGTACACCACACTTCACCATAATCAAAACTTTCGCAATTCCCTTTAGTAATTTAACAAAATCGAAAAGGATATATAACCAAAAACCTACGTGAACCCGTTACTTCTACTCTGATGCTGAGAAAAAAATTAGACACAGATTTTTAGAATTTCAAAAGAAACATTTTAGGCCGTTGCTATATTGTGAAAAATATGTTTCTTTTGGTCCCTACTTCGACCAACTTTTTAACATACATTACGTATTGTTTTCAACGATGTACTAGCTATTTTGCGCTGGCACTAAATTCAAGGGATGTTCAAATGATGCTGATGAACGGCCACCAGCCACCACAAAACTGTAAACGACCAATGTGATATTAACCTTTTAACCATCGAAATAATAGGGTTGGATACTTTCCTAACAAAACTAATATTTAAATAACAATTTCAACAAAATTTGATTAAAACGTTTTCATATCATGAACTATTTAATTATCTAAATGTTTATTTTTTTGTGTATTTTATCGTTCTCATAATAAACTTGATAAATAGATTAAATTTTTCGATTGAATTAAATTCAAAAAGTATACCGAATCAGTACAGATTTAACTTTTTACAGAAGGATAGCGCCAAAAGTTCTCACAAATGCTAATACCACTACAGATGTGATACAATTCTAAGCGAAAAGTGTGGTAAGCGAATATACTTCTTCCGGTTTGAAGTATACATTCCAATAATATGGATAGATTGGATTTCTAATGGAAGCAGGTAAACCAAATTTGGGACACGTTATTTCCCAAACAAAGTGCCAATGCAACCGTAAATTCAAGTTTCTACCTTGCAAAGTTATGCAAAATATAGCGCCTGCTTAAATAAAAAAAGTTTGCAATTTTAAAAAGTTAATGTACGGAACGTGTAATGGACCGGCTTTGCACATAGAGCGCCTCCAGGTATTTCCTCGGTAAATAGTTTCGAGATTCCTAACGCAAATTTATGTCTCGCATAATCAACGCCAGAAACGAGTAAAATACATATATTACGCATTGAATGTGTATGAGGGAAAAATAAAAAATCTAACCTGTGCATGTGTGTAAGCTGCAATTCTTGCAATCTAATCCCAAAGCGGTTTCGATCGATTCCCATTTGGAATTTAAACGCATCACTCGCCAAGTAACTTCTTCTTCCATTTCTGGATGTAACTGCACTAACTGACTAGCTTGTTCGTTAAAAACTTCTAGAAGCGAATTCTTCTTTACAACTTCGTTAATGTAACGCTACGGACAAAAACTGTAAGATAAAAGAAGCGAATTAATCACAATCCTTACAGTCCTTAAAGATTCTCCGTTGCTACCATTTTCCTTTCCACACAAAGTCTCTTGAACGCTATTTAACCAAGAATAGAGATCTGAGAATTGAATGTAAAACTTTTTTAAAGACCACATACGGGAATCCATCGTAAGTTCGCCATTTGCCTCCTGAAAAAAAGAGAGATTCAAAATTAATTGCGGTTCTGGGATACACAGTCAAAGAAAACACATATTAATTGGCAAATTACATTTTAATTTGGAGAATGTCCTGTACATGGCGTTAGCGCCAAGAAATATTGCAATCGAACAGATATTTAACCTTAATTAAACGGTAAATTGGGAACACGAACTTCTTAATTTATTTAATCCTATTAGCCAGATACATGTATATGGAAATTTAGTTCTATACTTGAATACAAATCGTAGACAATTAACGACACTGTCATCAGTGTGGGAAACTTGCACCGTGCCGTACATAAAATGTGAAGTAGATCCCCAAACTAAAGATTCTAAAGATTTTGAATTGACAGGACGCAAAATGTAATTTAAGACATTTGCTAATTTCGCATTGTATATCTTGAATATCGCAATCGGCCATGGACTACAGTAGAAGATTTAGTCTATTCATGAAATAAAGCTTCAATAAAGCCATATTTGTTTCCCTAATAGACAAAAATTTCTTTCCGAAGAAAATAAATGACAAAAGAAGTTCCACTCATTTGCCTTAAAAAGCAGATGTTAATAGACTAGTCATACCGGATGATTCTTTAGAACTATCGTTTGAATTATGCGCAAAAGATTCGGGTGTTGCTGCAGCACTGAATTGGCAGTATCAAATTTTGACAGTTTTTCCTACATAGTGCCGCTGTTAATTAATGATGATTGAAATTGTTGTAGTTGGCCTTAAAATTTAAACTTGTTCAGGGCATTTTTCAAAAATGTTACACGTGTCCCTTCGTCCGTAAGAAGGACCAGATCTCATCACTGGAAGGTCGTATAAAAACCTCGTTGATATCAGATTTGATAGATATAGTCTATTCGATAGTGTAACGCGAACACTTTAAACTGCTTCCTAACGATATCTAAATTGGGGTAAAACCTCTATTTATTCACCGTTTTCGTCAGAAACCAGTCACGTGGTCAAGGAGGTGCCGCATGGGGTGCATGACCACACTAATAAAAGGTACCACCCTCCTGATACCTACCCTGCGTAAGAAAATTACCCATATTACACTCGCCTAAATACTTAGCAACAATTTTTTGTATGTTGTAGCGCACACTATACCATATCCGAGGTATACGAGGTCTAGAGCTTATATTATATAACACCGGAAATGCGTTTATCACCCTAGAGTGACTAGACTATAATAAGGAGACCCGCGGGCGTTGAAATGGTAGGGGAAAGTTGAACTCAATGCGATATTGAAGGGAAAAGGTAAATCGTGGTCCAGATTTAATTATATTAATATATCTTCGGTGTTCTGCTGATTCTCTTTCAGGGTTCTTGCTTGTACAGGGTGGATCAAATTCGTGGCTCACCATTGAGATCTCCGTATAGGTGAGAGTTACAGTGTAGGTTAAATGGGGAGAAACTGTCTCGTTTTGTGACTAAATAAACGAATTCGAACATTTTGAAAATAACTGACATAAGAATCACGCAAGAGTCAAATTCCGTTTTCATTTTTCCTAGCTTAAACGGTCGGAAGTAGAAGGTGAAAATCCAATATGGCGTCCATAAGGAATAGGAAAGTATAGTAGCCTGTAGCTTCTACATCTATAGCGTGTTATGGAAATTTTGATAACAGGTTTAGATTCTCCGAAAAAAAAGTGTCCAACAGGTGCTAAAAGGAACCTTCCACACAGAGTATCCAACGACGAGCTGAGTTGGTTATTATAGCGAAACGAACGCGAATGAATTTATGACAAGTTACAGAAGCTACTTGAGTGGAGGAGATCGTCTCCAAAGTGTTCGGTGATGAAATGATCTCAACATGCGTCGCTTTCCCTGGAAAAACCAGCGGTTGGAAAACTGCGACATCTTTATTTGTTTAGTGTCAAAGAAGAAAAAATATTAAAATCGGTATTTATTGGCACTTTAGATGGGAATTCGTCGACAAGCTCTGCGTCAACCAGTCTTAAGGTACCTTTACACTATCATACTTCTCATGTGATTTGTCATATGATAAGTAACAAGCATTTAGATTTGTGTTTACACTATACTATTTTTGGTATTATGGCTGTCATAAGAGTAAGACAAATCATAAGGAAATAATATGGAAATAATACGTAAATCGTGGAATAGGGATGTTTCTATTTCTGCATGACAAATGACATGACTTATTTTAAATATCCAAGTGATCCCGCCCTTTTATGGTTACTTTTCGCATTTTGCTGTTGTACTTATCTGAAAAAGCTGAATATTTGAGTAAACCAGTAAACTTTTGATTATATCATTGATTATAGGTGTGTATAATCAATGATTATAGGTATATTAGTTACTAATGAAAGAATAAATTACATAAACAATAAATCGAGCAATAAATATTTACGAGTATATTGGTATTTGGTTGTCTGGTTGTAGTGGTGTTTTCAGACACACATTGTCAAATAGTGTCTTGATTGGTAATTAACCCTTCAAATGTTTGGGGTAATCTTTCAAATAAGGGTACACTCATCCTTAATGTCGACCAAGGGGACGACTCTGTTTGCTTTGTTAATGAAACGCATAACGGAGAAATTATTTTTAAAATAATTGTTAAACTTTTTTCGTTAAAAATGTACTATGATTTTTGAGGCACTTTAGAAGTTCACCTATTTGTGCTTTACAGGTGATTTTTTTGAGTTCTAAGTTAGCCTGAAGGTACTTTTTTGTTGAATACTTATTGTGATAATTAGCGATTTATTTTAATACAGAGGTTAACCGCACAGAATTGCTTATTTGCCGCCAATTTATTTAAAATTTTGCGGGATCCCGCAAATACCGGGTTCCCGCGGGATTAACATCTAACGATCCCGCAAATACCGGGATTGAGATTTTGCTGCGGGATTGCATTCCCTAGCTGTAACTTTTGAACTAGTAGCCCAATCTTGGAACTGTTTGAAATTATGGATTCTACAGGCCACGTTCTATAAGAAAAATTTTTTTCCGGGTCGATCTGAGACAATTTTTTTTTCGTGGCAAAAAAAGGCAGTGTATAACCTTCCATTTTTCCAAAAATCGACTGCACCAAAATTTCTCGGGAAAACACTTTTTCTTATTAATTTTGGTGCGTAGAATCCAAAACAATTCGTACTTTTTCGATCAGACTTCTCAATCAAGTTATAGACTAGAAACCAATTTCGAAAGAAAATTCAAAGGGCTGTAACTTTTGAACTAGTAGCCCAATCTTGGAACTTGGAACATTTTAATTTAGAGAAGTTATATATGGCTTCTTGTATTAAAGTCATATGAAAAACCTGCCAAGTGTAAAGTAAAACATTAAAACTCTTACGAAAAATATGTTGGTAGTAAATATCATATAACATATCATATAAAAATCATGTGAGATATATTATAGTGTAAAGGTACCTTTAGGAGTGCGACATTAATAAGCAATTAAGATTTATTGGGAGTACAAACATACACGCGTGATGCTGTTAAAGAGCGAGACGTAATTAACAATCAATGTTCATTTAAGAATACAAAAAACTTCGACGCGAGGTGCAGCGAAATTTCCTTTAAATTAGTAGCAATCTGTCACATTAACACATTCGCAATTGTTCAAGTGCAAAACAATATTGAAAACAAAACAAAACAAATTGTTATGTAACTCTAATTGCCACTCATCTTTAGATTGCACTAATAAATGATTTCATCGCAATAAGGTTTTAAAAATGTTTTAACTACATACCTACCTACCTAGTTTAATAAGTTTGTTAAATGCTGTAACTGTTTATCTTTTCACACTTTAAACAAGATCTGCTACTACTGAGCTGATTTTACTGATTATACCAAATTAAAGTTAATTTTAGCAATCAACTATTATTTTATTTAAGCCAAGAACCAATTTCTATTCATTATAACGCATATTTGGTTGATAATAATTAATATCTAATGAATCTGCAGAATAACTAGGTAATCTGCGAAGCAAAACCATTTTTCGCACTTTAACGGACTTAACCAGATAACTTGCAGACATCAACGATAGCATATTCACCAATTCCGTTGGGAAAGTTACCAAACGTATTGCTGAAAGAGCCTCGAAGGATGTATTATAACTGGGACCGTGTTAGCGAACAGATTTCCAGATAAACAAGCTGACCCTCAAACAATAATAAAACACCAGGCAGGTTTCTAAAGAAGCGCTCTATATGGAATCATGTAACGATGTTAATAGACAATCAAGCGATGTGTGTATCATTGGTACAAAATTCGGAAGATGACCATTTTCGTTAGACGTAATTATTTCTAAAGTAAAAGTGGGAAACCCTAAACATAATACGATAAACGATATCAATCGGACTAATAGGTCAAGAGATCAAGCACCTACATTTACACCTTCCTATTCCATTGACGAGAGTATAATTACACGATGATAAAGCAGTACGTACAGGCTTTGCCAAGGTTGGCTATCTTTGGTAGCGTGATTGCCTATAACTTACAGTCTTGTTTGTCGATAATACATTTAATTGGTTTAAAGGCAAAAGCTTCCCGTCCATTCAAGCACAACTACTAAAGCACCTGTTTTACTTTCAGACCTTAAATGAGCTAATGTTACAGTTCACTTCTTCCACATGGATCTAATTACGTTAAAGAACGTGCTTGTCTTGTAATGAACAATTTAACGAAATTTGCGTGATCTCTCGACTTTATGGCACCACGAAAACTACTAAGTACCTACTGGTACATATTACTCACGTATAACTAAGACAGGTTCAGTAAAGTTAGCAAAAAAATCATCACCAGGATACGTATAACCAAAACGGACCCCTTACAAAAGTTAGCAACGAACGATGATGGGGAAAATCCATCAGTAAGTAAAACAGTTTTCCATCTTTTCCTTCAAACGTGTATTTTTCCCCACCTGCCATGGAAAACTCGTCTGAAATGAATATAAAGATCGGCTAGCTGCAGTTATGTTTAGGATATAATAATTGTTTATATTTTATTTTATTTTTAACAACGTGTA